TTTCTTGATTTTTTGTATTTCTGGTATCCTTTCTTTGATGTTTATTCATTGTGGCAGGGCGTTTCACAGTCCACAGGTTTGACAGTATTGTCTGACTAAGATGTTGCTGGGGTTGCAAATTTGGTATGGCTATCTCAGTGACTGCTCAGTTGGCCACTAGTGCCTTGCGTGTGTGGTTGCCTCGGGTCTTGGGTATCTCCGGGGAGCCACGTCTCTGGTCGGCTTGGACTTGGCCGGGCTGCTGGGTCACGGAGTGATACTGCAGGGTGTGTGGTCTCTGCTGAGCTTCCACCTCCTGGATGTCTCTGTGTTCTGCATGCACTGGGCTGGGCTGCTGGGATGCGCAGAGGCACCGCAGAGCGTATGGTCTCTGCAGAGCTTCGCCTTCCCCTGCTGGATATCTCCCTGCTCCATGCACACTGGGCTGGGCTTGGGATAGAGCCAGCTGGCAGTGGTGAAGCCTACCTGCTGCTGGATCATGTGGCAGTGGCCCCCCCACAGGGTGTGTGGTCTTTACAGAGCTTCTGCCTCCCCTGCTGGACATCTCTCTGCTCCGTATGCACTGGGTCAGGCTGCTGGATCAGGCACGGTGGCGGTGTGGTCTCTGCAGAGCTTCTGCCTCCTCCGGTGGACGTATCTCCACTCTGCATGCACTGGGCCAGGCTGCTGGATTGCATGACAGCAGTGTCGTCCCCGTGGAGTTCCTGCTTCCCCTGCCAGACGTTACCCTGCTCCCTGTGCACTAGGCCGGGCTGGGAATGGAGCCGGGTGCCTGCGGTGAAGCCTATCTGCTGGATCACACAGTGGCGGCCCCATAGGGTGTGTGGTTTCTGCGGAGCCTCTGCCTCCACTGCCAGACATCTCCCTACTCTGTGCACAATGGGCCGGGCTGGGAATGGAGCCGGGGAGCAACAGTGAAGCCTATCAGCTGGATTGTGAGACGGCAGCCCCGCAGGGCATGTGGTCCCCACGGAGCTTCTGCTTCCTCTGCTGGACGTCTCCCCATTCCGTATGCACTTGATGTTATGTTTTTATAGTTGTAAATCGGTTGATTTGTGGGAGAGAGTGACGCTAGGGACCGTCTGTTCTGCCATCTTGACCAGAAGTGTCTGTCAGGTGTAATCTCTTGTCCTTTGTAGTCATAACCTATTGCTTGTAGCTATGCTCTGAACAACTAACTGCAACATGTAATCCTGGATTGGATCCTTGAACTTGGCACTTGGATGTTCAACAGCAATTCTTTCCTTCTCCCAGCACCTTTCTGCTGCCTCCCCTGGTCGCATCTGGGTTCTTGCGGAGCTAAAGATCTCGCCTAGATTCCTTCTGTATGTGATTTTCATTCAAACACAAAGCTTCTAGTTTTTGAGGCTGGGAAGTCCAACGTCCATTTGGTGGTGGCAACAGTGACTCAGGGGCCTCACAAGTTTATGAGGCTGTGAAGCCCAAAGTCCAACTGGTGGTGGTGACAGCAACCCAGGGGTCTCAAATTGCAAGATGGTGGAAGCAGAGAGCAAAACAGTAACTAGTTTCTGAGGCTGGGAAGTCTAAAGTCCAGGGAACTCATCTGGTCAAGGCTTCCTTGGTAGTGGCTTCATTGACACAGGGTATCACACTGCCAGCCGGTGGTGGACGGACAGCACAGGAGGGCGGGCAGTGCTCCAGCGGGGCAGCGATGGGCAGGAAGGGAGTGGTGGAGGGCGACAGCTTCTTTGCCTCTGCGCCCCAGCCGGGACGGTGGGCACACTCGCCGCCCAGAGCTCGGGTGCCGGCGCCCACCTTTCTTCAATTTTTTAAATTCCTTTTTCTTTTTTGTTGTCTGCCTGTGTCATTTCAAACAGCCTATCTTCAAGGACAGAAATTCTCTCTTCTGCTTGTTCTACCCTGCTGGTTAAACTCTCTGTTGTGTTTTTTATTTCATTGAATTAATTTTTCAGCTCTGCAAGCTCTGCTACATTCTTTTCAGGGCATTGATTTCTTTCAGGTCCTGTATACTTTTTCTCATTTAATTGTGTTGTCTAACTGAGTTTTCTTGTATCTCATTTAGTTTCCTTAGAATTGTTGCTTGAAATTCCTTGTCACTCATTTCAAGGACTTCCTGTTCTATAGGACCTAGAGCTTGAGAGTTACTGTTTTCCATTGGTGGTGTTGTACTTTCTTGATTTTTCATATTTCTGGTATGTTTCCTTTGGTGTTTAGTCACTGTGGAATGGGATTTCATGATCCACTCATTTGACCCTTGTGTCTGGCTACCATCCTGCAGGGACTGCCAATTTGGCGTGGCTGCGTTGGGGCCTGTGGGCTGGCAGCTTGGGCCTCTTGGGGCAGCGTGGACTCGACTGGGCTGGCAGTCTTGTGGTGGCACCTGTCTGTTGTGGTGCTGGGGGCTTCGGACCCTATGGGCCTGGTATCTCTGGGGCCTCTTTGGGAGGTATGGTCTGGCCTGGGCTGGAAGTCCTGCAGAGTGGTGCCTGCCTATTCCAGCATGGGTCAAGATCATTTTTTAAAATGGCTCCCTTTGGGTTTCATCTTGTTGCTACAGGTATGTGGCACATTTGTACATCTGTGCATAGGGGGATTATGTTAGGAAAGTGTGTTCTCAGATATTGTTAGGTCTGCATTGTTAAGCCTATTTGGGGTTTGTACAACTTAAGAGACGGTCAGCTTACCATTAATTGGATTTCCATGCTTTGGACTAGGAGTGCCTGGATATCACTGTTTCCATATTTGACATTTGATTATTTAAATTTATTTTAGAATATTCTAGGGATGTTTGTCTGTTTGTTTTTTGCTTTGTAATAATTTTGCATTAGGTTTTATTTGGGACCATTATCGGGTAGAAGAAGATTAATGTCTTTCAAAGCTTTGTTTCCAGTAGGAGAGATTTTTACAAATGGTTTTGAGACTAAAGTGAATAGAGTTATGATTTAAAACAAAATGTGTGGACTGCATAAGACCTGTAATCTGGTTTACATTAAAACATCTTTATTTACAAATAATTTAGCCCAATGTTGGGCCTAAAGTAGGGGCTATACAGAATACATGCAACTCAATTGATTCAGCAAGTAAATATCTGCTTTATGAAACTGTAGTCTTAACAATGTTAAGGATTTAAATGTGATATTGAAGGCCACTGTGGATTTTTTAAAAATGCAATCAACTTATTGTATTCTAGCCTTACTTTAATTTCTAAATTGATTAAAAGTGAACAGTATGGGTCTAAAGTCTGTATAAAACAGCAGGAGGTAGGTTAGTAAGTACCGTTTGTAGTGAGGAGAATTGGAGCAGTGAATGCTTTAATTGGAGGTAAAATAGCTGTTGAGATGACAGTTTATATTAGATTCGCATAGTGTGTACCTTTTTTGGAATTTAGAGAAGAAGCTTATTATGCAAAAATTATCATGTGAGGCTGATTTCTTTGGCTGGGTGTGAAAGGTATTAAAATGTCTGATTCCAAAGTAAAGTCACAGATTTGGGCAACTCTCATCACATTACCTAATATAACTTTTCTGTGTAATAAATTGATGTGTAACTATTCAGAAATTAAAATAAACATTTCAGATGTGTTCCCAATGTATGTCATTGTATATTTCTTTGAGACAAATCCAGATTTTTCTTCCCTATTGAAAAACTGTTTTCTGGCTGCCTAGACAAGTTTGTATAGGTCTAGCAAACAGAGACTAGGCTTCAGTATTTTTTGTAGTTCACTGCTTTTTACTTCCTTGACAAACATGTTGTAAAGATTAATTATAGAAATGAAAGGTGCTGGGTGTGATAGTACAGTCTTGTTTGAAAACCACTATACATGGAATAGAGCCTGTTTTAAATGGGCTCTCTGTGTGTATAGATATGTGTGGATAGAGTTTTCTGAGTTTAAGGAATATTTGAACATAAAGAATACAGACCTATATTCTTGCTGTTGCTCAGCCATGGTCCATATTTTAGAGAGTTAATATCTGTAATATAGAACCGTGGTTACACTAAGAAACCTAGCACTATTTGTGTCAGGAATATTTCATTGCTTTTCCATGTCAGAGAGAGTGAATGCAGCTTGAGGGGAAAAAAAAGAGTGGTGATTAATGGTATACTGAGATAATATATGCTTGCATATACCATTTTGATGCTGTGTTGAGGAATATTTTAGGTATGCTCTGGATAGGCAGATGGAGATTTTTAAGTACATAAGCTGTAAACCAGTCTGTTTAATCAGATCATTTAACTTATGTGGAAGAGGGAGGAGGAACAATGCTAGATCCTTACATATAGAGAAAACATCAGTCTTTTAATATTCCCATTTTGACTGGTTAACAGCTTGTGGGTAAGTGTGACCCTGGATTATTATTACTTGGGTTCTTGAGGATATGGAGGTATTGGCCAGAAGGAAATGTGCAGGAAAATGGCAGAGGAGCTAGGGAATGAAGTACTTGTTTGAAAAAACAGCAAAAGGTACAAATTATCAATAATTTCGGAGGAAGGTCTTAGAAATTAAATTGCACATTCTTGAAGTAGTTGGCAAAAGTAGAGACTTTATGTGTTTGTACCATTCTAATTCCAAAAAGGATTAGAAACAAAGTAGATGGGTTACTTATCTTGGTAATGGGGGTTTTAGATCCAGGTGAATTGATGGGAGGCTGGGGAGAACCTGGTTTTCTTACTGCAGTTTCTTCTCAACTTGAGCCATGGGCTTGCTGCCATCTTCCAGCGGGAACTTTGTTCATCTCTTGGTTGAATAATATGTACTTGGGCAGCTCTGTGGGGGACTGAATGATCTTTTAAATTTCTGTCTCTAATATTGATATCAAATAAGCATTTCCAATAACATTTATCAAGTCATCTCATTTAGGTGCCTGTATCCTGTAAAAAAACACCTTGCCTAAGTAATAGTCTGTAAATATTTAAGCTTTTAGTATGTAATAGGTCTTAATATCAATGTTACTATATGTATTAAATAATATTTTACCTTAAAGGTCTAATTTAGACTAAACTTGTACTATTTTTTTTAGGACAGCCAGTAGAGGGGACTTCATGTTTTCTGCGGATCGTTTGGTAGGTGGAGGCTTTCCATTTTCATTTCATTATTGTACCTAGTGATATAATCATGGTAGACCAAGGGGTGTTTTTGTTCTAGAGCATTCTGGGGATGAGAGAGATTGTACCAGTAACCATCATCTTGCCAGGCTTCTGAAGTGTTCTTTCTACTGTTGCATTAAAGGTCTGCCTCAATCCCTTTCACTTCAAAGTATTGCCCATGAACTCATTCCCTGGAGTTCTGAGGTTCCACTGCCTTTCAAATGGATCTGGATAACCTGGTTCTCAGAAATTTTTAAATGCCTCATCTTAGGGCAGTGAAGTGAGGTACATCAAAAGAAAACCAAAGATATAAGGAGACCTAGTAGTTATTGCTGTGGTATCCAGTTAATGCACAAAAACTAATACATTTCTTGCAGTTTACATGGGTGGGTATTTATTTTGCCTCTTCTTTTCTGTATTATCCTCATATGTGAAATATGAAGTTGGACTCTCTGTGCTTTCCTCAGGGACTTCCCATTAAACATTGACCAAGCCCAATTCTGTTTAGCTAGTATGATCTGAGAGGATCTCAGGCTAAATTGGTTTGTCTTCAGGGTAAGCACTGTGTTTCCATCTTGTGTTTTTATATCCAAATGTGCTCAGTGCTTGGAATGAGGTTGACATATTTTCTGCTGTGCTAATTGTCTTCATCCATTCATGAAATGAACACTGAACTCACGTGAATCAGGCACTGTACAAGGCTGCATTGGGTGGGAGGAGATAATAACAGTGACAAATACAGACATAGTCCTTGATCTCGGGGAGTTTACAGTCTAAATAGTGCTGTCAGTATTTGGGAAAGAAAGAAATGTGGCTTATTAATCTTGAAATTATAATCAGATAGTAGAAAGTAGATTATCAAAGGTAATGCAAGAAAAAAGGTGTGAAACTTTTCATTTAGATTTTCCCTGGGAAATTTATTCCAGAACAGTGTAGACAACTCCTGTTTTTGGCTTTAAATATTCTTGGTTCAGAGACCAAGTCTATTTAAAATTATTTGAGCTTTGAGAGGCAGTAGTAACCCTTGGATAGTACCAAGACAAATGTGGTTGACATTCCTGGTGCAATAGTTACATCATTCTGTCTTTTATGCTTTTATGAAATCAAAAGAACAGGTTCAAAGGAACTTGTGTCTTTTAATGGCTGCTATGGAGAGAACAGGGGTCTTGGTGTTCACTGGTAGAAAAATGGTTCCTCTTTCTTTTGCTTTCCTTCTGCTCTTTTTCTATAGAAAGTAGGAGTTAAGTTCACGGTGATTATAAAATGCTTTCCTGAAAGAGCAGGCATTATATCTTAGCCAAATGTGATCATAAAGGCCTATGGCATAATTCACCTGAGAGGATGGTAATTTGGACCTCTCTGTTCTCTTCAGTCGGCTTTGAAGGTCCTGATATTGGGAGGGGAAGTGTCTATTGTGGTTGCGGTAGGGATCTGACCTGTTTAGATTTCTATTATTGAGGATTTCTAGTACACTATTTTTTCTAGCACAAGGATCCCATTATAGTGGATGTTAATTCTATTCTGAATTTGTCAGGGTTGGCTTCCCTGGCCCTCAGATCCTTGAGTTCCTTATATTTTAGTCACCCTTCTTCTGGTTTTATGATCTTCTGTAAGACTTCAACTCACTCATATTTGTTCCAGGGTTGCAGGGGATGGGGTGGGAGGTAAGACTCTTTAGAAGAGTGTTACTAGGAGGAGGAGATTTAGGCTCTTCAAAGAAAAGTATCCTCTTCTAGCCTTGTAATTTGCTCATAAAAAATCAACTCTCCACAGAAGGTGATTGCTAGAGGTGAGTGTGCACACACATTCAGTATTCATGAGGTTCCTGAGCCCTCTGTTTGATGCTGACAAAGTATTGGCCCATTTAGAATCGATCCTTTTAATGGCAGCAGAGTGTTGTGATAACAGAGCATGGGGCCTGGTGCTTCTCCCTTCTGATCCTGATTCTCAATCAATAACATAATATTGGTTGGAGAAAATGTGCATTTCAGACTCAGCACTGTTTTTATTGTAGTAGGCTCTGGTTGCTCATGGAATACCGTATCTGGTTTTTGGAGGCTGTTCCTACTAGTTCTGAGTGATTCTTTCCTCTGTACCACACATTACAATTGTTGTGAGACTTTTCTTTAGCTGAGAAGTCTAAATGCATTCTACTGGATCCTCCTTCAAGGTCAGTAAATTGGTTCAGCCCATCCACTCATTTATTTCCTTACAAGAAGTTCCAGGCTTTATTTGCATTATGGTGGGTCTTTGTTAAAAGAATCTGACTTAATTTCATAGGTACTGAACGAAGTAGAGAAATTCCCAGTGGGCACTATTTCCAGGGTAACCAGAAGTATATTACTTCCAAGGGTGCCTGCCGTGACTCTTGTTACCTGCTGGAGTTTTGCATCTCTCGTAGCCTGGACTGATTGAATAGAATCAGAAGGCATACTGGAGTCTTGTGGTGGCAGTCATGTGCCTAACTGAGGTTAGATGCCTAGCAGCAAGCAGCCTGGCATTTGGACCTATCCCTGTATCTAACACATGATAGGGGCCCCCTTCCTATTTCCATAAGCTAAATTCTTGTTCAGTGTGTTACTGACTCTCTGCCTACTGTTCAGCTCCTGAGGCTAACAGCTAGCAGGAGATTCTTAGCAGGTTCTCAACTTATTCTTCCTTTGACTCTCTAGATCAGACTTGTTGTGGAAGAGGGATTGAATCAGCTGCCATATAAAGAATGCATGGTGACCACTCCAACAGGTAACCAGGGCTGTTACTTTCAAATTTTCCTCATGAAAATTCTGAGCTAGAATGGGGGAAAATGGAAGGAAAGCAGTCTGAGTAAAATCAATATGCAAAATGAGGAGTCTAGGTGGAGCTGTTCTTTTAAACATCTTACAAAACGCAGATATTTAGTAAAGAAATCTATGTAGGTTCCTTTTTTGTTAATAGATTGCTAGTCAATTCAAGGTAAAGGTTAATAAATATTCTTCAGCATGCAGGTGTTGCCTCTGCTGACAGCCCATTGGGCACAGAGTTAAGAATTGCTGGCAGCTTATCTTCACCTCTGTGGGGAAGCTGCTGGTGTTAACAAATGGGTGAGGGTGGTTTGAAACTCCAGGAAAAAAAAAAAAAAAAAGGATGAGAAGCAAAAAAGAAAAAGAAAACTAAAATGATGAGAATTGAAGAAGGTGCTTTGTTATACTCTTTAATAGAAAGTAGCCAAAGATCACTGGTTTGGCTTTCAGGAATTTGAAATTCTGATGTGGTTCTTTAGTAAATAATGGAGAACTGTTCTATTCAAAGGGTTGACTTTATGAAAATTGGGAGCTGAGCTTGTTGCATTATGATTGACACAAATTCAGGATGAGACCAAGGGCTGGGCATGTCTTGATAAATACTTCAGCCTCTTCTGCTTTTAAGGCAGAATGGAGGCTCATAAAAAGGGATGCAATGAGGAGGCTTTCTGCTGTGGCTCACAGTAGGGTCCCAGTTTGAATTTATGTGGTATATAGATAGCATTCTCAGAGTGCAGTGATTCTTCTTTGAATTCAATTTGAGGATGTGTATATGAATGTCCTATTCCCATTTGATGAAGTCTGCCCCTTCCAATTATTCTCACAGGTTTCTTAAGAAGAATTAAGAAATAACTATGAAAAATCATGACTTATCTCATTACTTTCACAGGGAACCTCAGGCGTTATACAGTGTGTCTGGACAAGGGTTGCTCTGTACCCATCTGCTTTAAACCATAGGCACTTTATAAAATAAGTAAGTTGCTGCAATGATGAAAGATAAATTCTTTGGTTTTATTTCCCAACAGGGTACAAGTATGAAGGAGTGAAATTCGAGAAGGGAAATTGTGGGGTCAGCATAATGAGAAGTGGTAGGTTTGTATGTGTGCGATTTTGTTTCTTTGCATGCATAGAAACAGTTGCTGCTTTCCAAGAGAGAGGTGGGCTTGTCCGTCATAATTGCAGCCTGCCTTTGCTTAAATCTCACCACCTGTGTTGTCTATCCTCGTGGTGCCTCAGAGTCATGGCCTGTGTGCTGCTAAGTTTGGCTAATTAACAGCAGAACATCTTCCCATGCCTGCCCCCATAGGCAACCAGCTTTCAAAGAGATTCAGGGGAGGGTGGGAGGATAGGAAGATGTGATAATTCCCTCTTGGGGAGAATAGGGAAGTTTGAAGACTGAGGGAATATAGCACAAATTCAGGCCTGGAGAACTTTGAATACCTGACTAGAGAAAAATTTGTTCCATTTTTATTTTATTTCTGTTGTAGGGAACAGTCCTATTCTGTCAGGTGCTGTACTGAATGGCTTGTTCAATATTTTTAATTTTATATTTGATGACTATATGACCATGTAAGCAAAAACATGCAACTGTTATTAACTCTAAGTATTTCTTTTTGCTGGTCTTATAAATGTATTTCTATTTGAGTCCAGCTGATTACCCTTCTAAATCAACTTTTGTGTAATTAGAACTCGTACCTGATGATTTCCATTCCTCTGGGTATATTCCCAGCAGTGGGATAGCTGGGTCATATGGTAGTTCTATCTGCAATTGTTTGAGGAACCTCCATACCATTTTCCATAGAGGTTGCACCATTTTGCAGTCCCACCAACCATGTATGAGAGTTCCTTTAAGTCGAAGGTATACCTGTTCCCCAATGTTCATCGCAGCACTCTTTACAATAGCTAAGAGT